TTACATTGTCTTTTCTGACCCATTTACTATCTTATCTTGCTAAAACTTTACCTGATACTGTTGTTTAGCTGGCCTAGATTTTAAAAAAGAAAAAGCTTTGCCAGAGATGAAAGACAGCAGAGGAAGTATTTCCTGTGGCCCATGCCAAGTAAGACATTCTGATGCTCAGGCTCTTTGCTAGGAGAAAGCATACTATGTGAAAGAGGACTTGTTGAAAAGAGTTGTTTTCAACTGCTCTGATGAGGGCAGTTTTTGCAGTGAACTAGTATAGAAGAAAGCCTGAATTATAGTGTTTGAATAATGAATGGGAGCTGAGGTAAAGATAACATGTAAAGAACTCTTTCAAGACATTGAAGCAGGAAAAGAGATGAATGCCATCATACATTGAGGGAGAAGAAAAACACACATAAAACATTCAGCCTGGGAAGACTTACATGGGTTTGTAGGTAGAGAGGGAGAAAGACAGTGTGTTGCAGGAAGCTAAAGGAGATGCATTTGGGAGCAACTGGAAGCTTTCTTCCCCTAAGAAGGTAAAAATACTAAAGACTAAAACCAGAAGGAGGCAAGGTAAAGCAGTTTATATTTGATGATAACTTTTTCTCTTGGACTTACCAGCTATGATTATCTGCAAAAAAAAAAGTTTTTAGAACAAAGTTAAGTGCATAAAGAAGAGCAACAACTACGGAGCATGATTAGGAACTAAATGAAGATTGCTTTAGTAATAGTAAGTACTGAAGGCAGAAATAATAACAATGTGATTTTTCTCTAGTGGCTTCAGCCAGGGGAATTGATGTGAGAAAAGTAAACAGTTTAATTGACCGTGAGTGTCAAAAAACATTGTAGAGATGCTTGTTGGAGTGTGGTTGAAATGATTGACTGTGGCTGGGCATGGCTGTGCATGCTCATAATCCCAGCAGTTTGTGACACTGAAGCAGGAGGGTGACTAGCCTGGGCTATTTATTGGCAAGCTTGTCTTTATTTAAAAAAAAAATGAATTTTGTAGTTTGGCAGATAAGGAAGGAAATGGAGTCATAGGCTGCAGCTTAGAGATGTGAGAAGCAGTAAGTTACAGCCAGAAGCTAAAAAACTTGATAAGGATGGAAAAGTAAGATGATTAATAGTAGTGGTAAGAGGACTTTATATATATATATATAT